GTTGCTGTGAAGAAGAGGTTGGAAGAGTTTACAAGATGAAGATGAGGATGTAGTTTTAGCTTTTCAGCTGTGTAATCAAAAATTAGTGGCGCTCTGGGGTCGCCCAGGTCATGAACGCATTCATGGGGCGTTTTATTTTTATATTACCAGCTTTGGCGCGCTGCATGGTCGTACACCTCGTGTTATGAAACCTAGACAATGGTGCAATACATGATAAAATGCATCATAGAATACATTCGACAGTACCGATGCATTTCAGTAGGGATATATAGATGTTGACAGAACAAAAAGGAATATATGCTTATTTATCTGTTCTCAAAGTTAAATGAAGTTCAAGTAAAAAGCAGATCTCTTCACATGGGTCTATAAATATCAGTTTTCTATCTGAGAAACCACAGAAAAGGTTTATTACTAGCACTCGCAGTCTTAAAAGTCTCAAAGTTTGATAAAAGTAACTGCTGACGCAGTTCTTGAAATATGTAAAATAGTTTTTGTTATTGGCTTGCCTGTTTAGATAATGTTCAAGTGTAGTTCTCTTTGGTGTAACATCATAATAACTTGGTGTAACTTCGGTCCCAATCATAATCCGGAAGAATTAGAGCTGATCTCCCAAGTTTTCCCTGACCGCCTATGTGGCAAAGTTTTTCCATCTTTTAGAATCAACCATATAATCTGATCTGTAACTACTACAAATTGGCATTTGCCGTAGCCCAATGACGATCAACTACAAACTGTGGTATGCCCCCACCCTAGGTGGTGCTCGGAGAGAAACACAGGCATTTATGCCTCTACCATCATGGTGTTTTGCAGATCTCCTGTTAACTCTGCAGTTTTGAGTGTAATTATATTAAATGATAAGCATGCAAGGATCACTTCTCTACATTGAATCATCGCAGTACTTTTGTCACGTGGCATATAATGCTGTATAAAAACATGGGTGTGATTAGGGTCCGTCACCACTTGTCCAACCGACAGTCACTTCTTGAAAGCCTGGTAGAGGCTAACTCAACCCTTATCTGCTTTCTGTCCTCGTGTGTTGCATTCCCATCTTGGAAAACTTCGAGGTCCATGCTCCAAAACTGGCGCGATGGTTTCTCTTGTTGTGTTGGACGCAGTCTTGCTTTTGGACTGCAGAGACCAGCAGGACGTAGTTGTCAGAGTGCTCCGTTGAGAGGAAGAACTGCATTATTGGCACTGAATAGTACAGTAGCCAGGCCCTGAACTTGGATACTGAAAAAAAGAATAACATTTAGTGCATCTGATGACACACATGTATCTGCACAATCTCGCCACTCATCTTAATATAATTTTGTGTTACAATTATCAATGCCAGACAATGCCAGCAGCATCTTCATGGGCATTCCGCATGTGTTCCCGGTTGTCCCCTTGACCTACCCTTTGGTGGGTTGTTGTAGCCGGCATCGCTCTCGGTGGGGACAGTAGAATTCCCGCCTCGACCCGATACCGCTTTACCTCTGCCAATCTTGCGCAGTTCTGCTCCATCTGCGTCTTGTTCTTTTTTTAATAATTGAAACATACAATGAGAAGACGTGGTGGCGACACACTCCAGTTACACTTATATTCATGTCGCCACCAGATAATACGTAATACAAGCAAGCAAAGCACGAATTTTCATACAGCAGTTGAATGCAACAATCAGTCGTTCCCACGTGGCGAAGTTGATGTGCACTCTGGACGAGAGCTTTGTCCATGCCATTTGGTACATTGTTTTTACTTCAATCAGTCGTTCCACCGTGGCGAAGTTGATGTGCACTCTGGACGAGATCTTTGTCCATGCCATGTGGTACATTTATTTACCTCAATCAGTCGTTCCCACGTAGAGAAGTTGATGTGCACTCTAGACGAGCGCTCTGTTAATGCCATTTCTCTTGAGCAGGATCACGCAGGATTCAGTAGTTGGAGCATAGTGGCGACTGGAGACTGTTATCGTGGGGACTGGAGACTGGTACAGTTGTACCGCGATTTTACCCGTATGTGTTTCCACCAATAAGATCACTGGCAGGTCATGGACTAGTGCAACTTTTATCCAATGACGACCACTTTTCGCCTTGAGTAAGCCAGTGAGCCTGGACAACTTAATTTTCTCCTGAACATTCATTATGTGCCTCCTGATACCGCTCAGTTTGATACTCTTCTGTTTACTATAGCAGACACTAGACTGCATCAAGGTGGCTTTTTGCAAGGCGACTAAACAGATCGTTTGCATTGCGTTTCTGTTCAGTCAGAGTTCCTACTGCAAAGCACCCCCCTCCAATTTCCTAGCAGGTCACTACTGTAGGTATTGTTTGTCATCAGGGGGCCACGTTCTACGATTGATACTTCAAAGCCATTTTGTACGGCGGATTAAATACGTATCTTGGCACTGATGACCTCATTTCCTTCTTCCTTATTGCTCTTGTGAGTTTGGGGATTTTTTCAACCGGGATGTAGCCCACTATTCTCCACACATCCGGTAAATAGCATCTATTTTTATTGCATTATGGTCTTTACATTTGTCAGGCTCAAACTCCAACCTAATGGGAACAGTCCTTGTGGGCTAGCATTTCTGTTCTTACTTCTTCAAGCGCGTCTTGGTAACGTTTCTCTACTGCACACCCCCGTAACTTGATAAAACGTGTGTAATCCTCGCTAGTTTCTAGTTTTATAATATGATCTAGTTTAGAAAACGTCCACACTATGCTGATTACAATAATGCCAATTTTAATTGTTCATGGCAAAACCTGCCGATATTTGTGTGTAAGGCTATCTGTGATGGATTATCTTGTTTTCGTGTTGGCGGGCGAGAACTGTGTGTACCTGGCAATTCTCTCGGACGAATTGTGCCAAATGATTACACGGCTTAACACATTTGTATTCGTGTTGTTTATGCAAAAAGGTATCCACATTTCAAAAATGTTAGTAGCCGAAAAAATTAGCCCAAAAAACATTATTGAGTAATATTAATAAGTATACTTTTTTGGTGTACTACAGTAGAAAACCTTGACCAATTTCTACTGTGTTGTCTGGTCGATACCAACTTTAGTTTCAAGAAAGAGAATTGTTTCTGAGTATTTCAGTACAAATCTTTATCTTTGTGTTTCCTTTACAGCTACTGCTGGAATGAACATCAAACAACATGGATTAGATGTTAGATGAGGACCATCCCGTATAGAACACCAACAGTCGTACACATGAGATAAAAAAACACCATTAAAAACAGCTACATTAACAGCTAACTTACTTGTTGCGTAAGTTCTTTTGTGGTGATGGTGCTGCTGCTTTTTCCGTCCAGAACAGAAAACAGTATATTATAATTTTTGTCCTTTTATACTACTATCAAATTGCACTTCTGAATCAGTTGTTATACCACTCAGTAAAGGAGGATTCTCATCACTGACATCAGGCCTTTCATCATTATTCTGTTCTTTATATATATATATATATTGAGTTTATTGACTTCGTTCACAATTCAGTAAAATACATGGCAGCTTCATTTGTGTACAAAGATGCTGAATTGCGCATTTTACATGATTAACATGATAAAAAAACAATATCTATATTACAAGATCAACATGATAACAAATTAAAAACTAGTAAACAATGACATTAAGATGATAACGTTATAAGAAATTGAAAAGGTTCTTAATAAGCTGTAATAACTGATGTAATAATTGACACTTGGGGATTTTAACAGCGGTTTGTTTTTGCCAGGGGGATGCAGAGTTGCTAGGAACTTTTAAGGTTTTTAGCATGGACTTCCGAACGGGTTGGAGGTAACCAGCCTCTAAATGTGGGGGAACTTAGCAAGGATTTAGCAAACTTTAGACTAAGGGTTTCTCTCCTGTTTTCCAAGGAGGGCAGACATAGGTGAGTTAGGGCTTCATCGTAATGGGTATATTGGGCGCCAAGGATAATTCTAAGGGCACGTTTCTGTATTCGCTCGATCTTCATGGATTGTTGCGTCGTGATGCTGGGGCTCCAAACGGGGGCAGCGTACTCTAATGTGGGGCGAATATAACCTTTATATAAAGCAAGGAGGTCTAAAATAGGGAGTCCGAACCGTTTTAATTTTTTTAGCCAAAAAAGTCTTGAACTTGCCTTGGAAATAATGACCTGAACATGTTTATCCCACCCCAAATCACGTGATAACCATAAGCCGAGTATACATGCACTCTCTGTGTATTCAAGGGGAATATCATTAAGTGAAATAACGGGGGGCTGGGGGCAATCTCTCATAAATGAAATCATTAGTAACTTACACTTATCGCCGTTTAGGATCATATCATTTTCTAACGCCCAACTATTCAACTGGTCGAGTGATGTTTGTATTGCACTAGGCTCATAAAACTGCACTCTGCACTCTGCTGCCTTTATAACAAAACGTGCCTTAATTCTGGCAACTTTGTCTTCTACGTCCTCCTCTGGACGTAGTGACCTAGTGTGATTTGCTGCTGTTTTGCCATCATGTCCAGCTTTTGCTGCTGTTTTCTTATTTTAGAATCTCTTCTTTTCAACTTTTCCCGCCAGCTCTTCACGTTGAGTGTGATCACTCTCTGCTTGACCTTTGCTTCTTTCTTTTGAAGCAACTACTTCTTCTCTTCCTCCTTTTGCGTTCTGTCCCTTGCTTCCAGCTCCTTTTCGAGGGAGAAATTCTTGACAACCATCTTTCAGATTTCTAGCTCTTTCTCCCTCACTTCTCGCTAAAAAGCTTTGCCAGCCTTGGAGCTTCTGAGACATACTTGATGTTAAGGGTTTTTTTTCAACTTTATTTATTTGCTCATCATTTAAACAAATGTACAACAGCAGGGGGAGCAGAAGCGCATCCCCCTGAATTAGGTACAATTTGTCACATTATTTAAAGCATCAAACAGCATTCACATAGAAGAAATAATACATATAAACAACCATATATACAAAAGACACATATAAAAAAATTATTTACAACATATATCAACAAAGTTGCTTTATCAGGCTATGCAAAGTCCAGTACTAGTGTGGGTTCAAGGCAGGTTGTTATAGAGTCTGATGGTGTAGTGCAGGAAGGACTGTTGCAGCCGTTTAGTTCTTGCATGGGGAACAGTGATGTTGTGACTGTTCCTCAGCGATCTTCCTGTGACAGACTGTCTCTGGGCAGGAACCAGGTCGTGCAGGGGATGTTCAGGATTCAGCATGGCCTTGAAAAGAGACACAGCAGCGGCCTCTCTCCTCTCCTTCAGGGACGGCAGTGTCGGTACAGAACGTCTGCCGCCACGTGAGATGATCCGGAGGGCGCGCCTCTGAACCCTCTCCATGCTCGCTGCCTGCTCCTCACTGCAACCGACCAACAGAACATGGCCATACTCCAGGACAGGGCGGATGAGACTCAGGTACACCTGGACAAGATCTTGCACACTCATGCCCTGTTTTGTCAGCAGGCGGAGGTAGTGGAGCCTGCTCGAGGCCTTTGACACCATAGACTTCACATGTTCGCGCCAGGATAGTTTGTTGTCAAAGATGAAGCCGAGCCCCTTGGCAACAGTGGTGACAGGCACAAGCTCGCCCCCGAGAGACAGAGGTGGCAGTACTGGAGCGTTTCTGCTGAAGCAGATCAGCAGCATCTGGCTTTTCTTGCCGTTCAGGAGCATGTCGTTACGGTCAGCCCAGTTGTCAAGCTGCGACGCTTCCTCTGTCATGGCACTGTCCGTGCTAGCTTTCTTCAGGGAGACTGATCTGGACAAACCCACGTCATCCGCATAGCCCACGTCTAGGGTGTCGTCGTAAACCGTGTCGCGTGAGCTCATAAACAAAAGAAACAGATAGGGCGACAACACTCCACCCTGCGGTACTCCTGACGTGAGATGTCGCCAGCTACTCAACTCCCCGTTAGCAGCCACTCTCTGAGTGCGTCCTTGTAGGTAGTTTTGCAGCCAAGCTAGGTTATGGGGGAACTTGTGCGTTGTCAGGTACTCTTGGTATAGGCGGTCTGTACACTTCTCTCAGTTCTTCAGAGGTTTTGGTGTCTTGTTTCTTTTGGCTTTGGCCATCTTCGTCACTGGCTGTGTTTCTTGACAAAGTACTTGTTGAAATAACTGTTATACTTCCTCTGTATTGTGACATAGTCAGCATCTGGAATTACACTGTCTCTACCTAGTGTCTTTATTGGGCAGCACCTTCGAACTAGCCATTGTACAGAGGATAAACTTATGGTCTACACTATGTACAGTAGTTTGCTTTCTGTCAATGAATATAGCGTTCCAAGAGGATGTCCTGTATGTTAGAATGTAAATATGAATTCATGAATGACAACTGTTCTTTTCAGAATTTCAAAAATAATTACGGTACATGTACTTACGAGTCTCTCCATCCCTTTTGAGAAGAGCAGTGGTCTGGGATTTTTTTCCTCTGCAGGATGAAAAAAAAAACACTAGAAGCGGCAGCTGTATAATAGGAGCTCTCCACACGTCCGTTCACTGCCGTGGCTGAGGGCACGAAGGGGCCGCCGCGCTTCAGGACCGGAAATATTACCCGTCATGCTTGCGAAGTGTCCATCCCCCATGTAGCTGCACCAGTTGTCCAGGTGAGGAACATCTGGTCCGATGATAGCAGGGTGCGGCAGGTTCGGTGTCACCTTTGCGTTGACCCTGTACGTAGCTCCTGTGGCCTACCCGGATCTCTACCAGCGCGATGGGATAGTTTCGGTCATCCTTTTCTATAGCCTGCTGAAGAAATCTGCCAAACCATGTTTCTCCCCGGTCTCAATGTGCTTATTCATTTTATTCTTCTCTCCTATTCTTTTTCCTCCTCTGTCAGGTCCTCAATGGTGACAAACTTTGCCAGACGTGCCCTCTCCTCATACCGTAGCTTAGCCTCTGGATCAAGCTTCTTGCACACAATTTTGCTCACAATTTTTTGAGAGCATGCTCATCTGGCAGGCAGAGCAGATAACAATTGTCTTTCAATCTTGTGAGATTTTCTTCTCGCAATGTACGCATTTGCCGAAGCGCCCTACAATTGCCATGCCCGATATTTTGCCTGTTGTAGTTGGGCTATAGTTTGTTTATTTGTAGTTTACCACCAGATATACGAGTGGAAGGGAGGACAAAACAGGTGCAATGACACCTTTACAAGTTGTCCTCCCAAACACAACATGCACAATATAAATACAGATTGCATTATTGAATACAAAACAAATTGCAATAATGAACAATCATTAACAAGAAATATTATACATAACATCAAATACTGTACAATGCAATACCAAGCTATATACACATGTAATACATTATTTACAAAAATTGGGGATGAGATGTTGATATCATCTGTGTTTTGCAACGTATGAAGGTCTTCATCAATCTCCTGTACTGTGGTGTCTTTTGTGGGGATTATATACTTCGTTGTGCCATGTTGGCGTACTCTTACATTCAGCAAGTAAGACTTGTCCACTTCTAGTTGTGTAGGCTCCCGTACTACAAGGGTGAAACGTGATTTCTCTTCGGAGTTTACGAAGATAGGGAGGCCAGTACACATATTTGGTTAAAAATACAATTTTTGGAAGGCTGGAATTTCTGTTTTTGACACTTATATGTATTTTCTTTTTGGTTTTCCTGTAGTACATGGTAAGTTATGTGTGTCCTGACAAATGTAGTTCAAGAAACTCCCTGTTCGTAAGAGGTGGTCTCTCTGCGTGGGTTTTTGTAGGCGTGACAGGATAACTGTAGGTAAATAGACATGACAACCAATATTCAGTGAAGCAGGCTACCCAAGTTAACCACATGACCTGACATGTACATTTAGGAAGAAGCAAATGCTCAACAATCAGGCCTATTTTCATGTGTGTCATTGGTTGGAATTGGTTACAGGCACCTTGATCATCCCCGTTGAGTTAACTGGGATGAGTGCCGGTCCCACCTCCAGGCCCGTGGGCCAATCACCGGCTTCATCTGGTTCGAACAGCATGATCTGTTTCTCCTCCACTGAGCCACGAGGAATCCTGCACCTCACTTGAACTGTTGCCCCTCGTGGTAGCCGAACTCTCTTTCTGCCGACCCGCACTCCTGCCGGGTTCGGGACGCTGAACTCTTCTATCAGGTTAACCAGGGTCGCCGCCCTCCGTGGCCGAACCGGCAGCGCCCTCGACAGCAGGGCAGAGTCACTCCCACAGCGCTTTTGGATTTCTTCGATGACGTTGTATCCAATTATCGGATGGTCCTGACTAGGGCTGTTGGTTGTCAGAAATGACACCGAGATAGCTGGTGAGTCATCTTCGCTGAGTTTAAAACTGACCTCTACCCATCCACTATATGGGATCTCTGTACCATTTGCCGCCTGTAAGTTGAGGCTTGCTGTGTCCTCAAGTATCTCTATTACTGGTCTGACCTTTATCTCTGGTAGATTCTTCTCTCTCCACGTATCTGTCATGATACTCACTTGTGCGTCGGTGTCCCATAATGCCAGGACCGGCTGGTCATCCATCTTACACGACACCAGGCACCGATTCCCGACTAACTTTGTTATTTTAGTTCTTTGTTTTGGTGTTAGATGTGACGCAGTCATGGCATTGACGTGAACCAATTGTTGTTGATTGTTGTTGGCTGTTGTTGTCTGTGGTTGTTTGTTGTTGGTTGTTGTTACCGAGGGCTGTTGATTGTCACTAGTTGGTGTTGTTTGTTGATGTCGTTTCTGGGACGGTTGTGAGCTGCTTAGGACGACCCCTCGTCCCTTTGGGGTGCCCCTGAAGCGTTTCCCTAGTTCTTATAAATGGTTTTTATTGTCCAAACAGTACCCGTGCAGTCGTAGCCTTTATACGGCTGAATTGGTGCAGGGTATCACATATTTATTCCACAATCATTTTTGTGGAACTGTCGCAAGGGTCTGTGCGGCTGCCATTCGGCGCCACAAGGTGACCTCAATACGACTTTCCCCAACCGAAGTTAGGTACCCATTCACACCTGGGTGGAGTGAGGAAATTCGTGTAAAGTGCCTTTCCCAAGGGCACAACGTCGGGGCGCATGTTCAGACGTGTACCGGGTAAGACTCGGAATCGAACCCGGGTCTCCCGGTTCACAGTCGATTGCTCTAACCACTACACCACCCGACGCCAGTTCTTGTTTGGTGTTCGGCACCACCGAACGATGTGGTTGCTTCCACCACATCTGAAGCAATGACGGCACACCTCCATCCCCTGTTGTGTACATTGGTTGCACCGTGAGCTTGTTGAGGTGAGCTTGTTGATGCGAGCTTTTCGTCCCGTTCTTTATGGTCCACCACCGCCCTACTTATCTCTTCCAGCAGCTCCACATCACCGGTGTTGTTTTTGTTATCCAGATAAGGCTGCATTCTTAGGCGAATGTTGTCATCTCTGAGCCCCGTCGACACCGCTCGCAAAAACATGGACTGCACCAGTTTGCCGTCGTACAGCTCTTCCTCTTCCTGTGAGGCTGCTATTACTTTATTTCTCAGCCCCATCATCCTTGTGACAAAACCTTGTGAAGACTCCCCTTCTTCTTGGCATCCGATGCTTAACTTACGGTACAGGTCAGTAGCAGTTTCCTCCAATCCATGGGGTCCGAAGAGGTGACCCGGCTGGTATCGCCCTGATAACTGCGTCTACCACCTCCTCCTCTGTATATCCCTGCCTCAAACCACTCTTGATCTGATATGTGAGGGACTGAAATCTCAGCTGCCCCACCTGTCCTGTTATCTTGAACTCCTTCCTATTGGTCATTGCTGGTTTTCCCTTACTGTCACCAATCTTCCATGTGGATTTTCTCAATGACTTGCTCTCTGTCGGAAAGAGTTTCTTCCTTACCGTGTTGGTGTCACTCCCACTCGGTGTCTCTAGGCTCGTCACTCGCTCCCCCAATCTCTCAACTGCACTACAACATTCTGTGACAATGTTTTTTTAAATGTGTGGTTGCCTTCACCAAGTCTTGCATTGCCAACTCTGGCGTCTGGGTCGTTTTAACTATGCCCTGACTTGTTTCAACTGTTGTCTGGCCAGTCTGGGTCATATCAACTGTGTTCTGGGTCGTTGCTCCCTGCAACGCGAACCCTGGCGTCTTGATCATTTCACCTAGACTGGAGTAGAGTAGATCAACTGGGCTTGTCCCTTCCGCCATACTTGTACTACCGACACTCGTTCAACACCAACAACTACGGCCGCCCTCCCCTTACTAGCTCCGTCTGATGGGCGCCGCCATCTTGTTTGTTTACAAGAAATTGACCTCTAACCTTCTGTCACGTGATCGTTTTGGCGCCAAACTTCCGACACCCACTTTCCCCCTGCCAAGAACCTCCAATTTGTTACCCTACAAATCCTCGTTCCAGATCCCAGTTCCTAGTCCAGATGCCGACGCAATTACGACCCGCGAAGCCAGAGTGATAGACGACCAGTGTGTTCTTTATTCTCTCATACCAACTGCCCAGTACGCATGCGTACACATCGGATCAAACCATTATCCTAAAGGGGGTGTTTCTACATGGCAACACAACAAAATATTTTTAACACACTTGATGAAAATCTGACAAAAAAATAAACTAAAATGCACGCAAAACATCAGTTACGTCAATGAATAATGCTGATAAATGCAACTCACCGCCATGACTGGGCGTTAAAGCCCCGTGTCTGGATCATTGAATTCCTTCCAGATTTTTCCATCATAGATATCACTCATCTTGTCACCATTTTCAGGCCTTTTTCTCCATAGCCAGAGACCTTTGAATAGCAATCCTGAGACTGCCACGCCCCCTTCTTCGCCTCTTGCCTCTCCCCACAGCACCACCCCTCTGTGGGGTGGGGGCT